TTGACATTGGCAGGCCGGGACTGGGTTCAACCCCCCCAGCTCCAGTGTATGTGGCTGGCACCCTAGCCACTGAGCTTTGAGCTGATTCTCACAGTCTTTTTTTTTTTTTAGAGACAGAGTCTCACTTTGTTGCTTTCGCTACAGTGCTGTGGTGTCACAGCTCATAGCAACCTCCAGCTCTTGAGCTTAGGCAATTCTCTTGCCTCAGCCACCCAAGTAGCTGGAACCACAGGCACCTGCCACAACGCCTGGCTATCTTTAGTTGCAGTTTAGCTGCGGCTGGGTTTGAACCCTCCACCCTTGGTATATGGGGCTGGCGCCCTACTCACTGAGCCACAGGCACCACCTGATTCTCACAGTCTTAATAGAGCTATAGTAATTAATTGGCAGATTGCTATATAATTAGTCCCAGCCATAATTATTAAATTATAACAATCTAAAATAATTATTAAGTAGAAGGAAGAGGGAAGGCATTAGGAGTTTAAAGAAACAGCAGCATCTATGCAACCTCCATTTTAGCAGTGCCAGGAAAATCATCTTTGATTTAACATAAGAGTTTCTATTCTCTTGAAGTAGCATCAGAGAGCTGAAGTTTTCAGGTGAATGCTGCAGAAATATGAGCATTTCTTTTTCAGCAGTGAGCCTCTGAAAGTAATGTTTCCCTTCACAGCTGTGTAGGACCCTGAATGCCACTCAGCCCTCCTTGTCCTTGCCAGGATCACTAGTACGTTCCTATCATTAGCTATTCCAAAACATTTCTGCTGTCCTTAGATGTCTTCTCTTAGCAGATAGATATTTTTCCTATGTTGTGGGAGAGATGGAGGCTGTCAGGTAAAAAGGGTTCCCATCAGGACACAACTATAAGAGGGAATTTACCTAACAAATGCAATCAATGTAACCTGGTTCTTTGTACCCTCAATGAATCCCCAACATAAAAAAAAAAAAAAGGCTCCCATCTACACACATGTCTATATTCAAGCTCATTCTTAATTCTGAGAGGATAAATGAGCAAATACACTCTCTTTACCATGCATTACCAACGCTGCCTTTCTTCATAGCCTCCACTGCAGAGGTAAGCTTCCCTGTCCTGGCTTTCCGTGTATTCCTCCTGCTGTATCCACCGTCCTGCTGCCGGAACCTCATTGCAGCTGGCTCTGAGAAGTGACTCTTCAAATGGAAAATGTGTTCACATTAGCAAGATTTATGATGAAGAATTTGGAAGAGTTTAGTATTAGACAAAGGTTTAGACAATAGGTTAGACAATAGTATTATTTCCATTCTTTAGAGGTTTAGACAATAGTATTAGACAATAGGTTTGCCAAGTCAACAAGAAAACGAAAACTTTAGGGAAAAGAAAAATTGTCCAAATGGGAAGGCTGAAATGTGGCATAATGTTGAGGAATCACTGGAGTTTAGGAAAAGACAATCCAATTGACTTTGAGTTTTAAAACACACCCGGTCTAGTATTGTAGTTTGAGAAACACAGTATTACATTTTTTTTCTATGGGTGCAAAACACTACCTTATCCCGCTGTGATTACTGATAATATAGGCCTGATGTCACAGATGCTATTGATCGTTGTTTAAATTTTAGAATCAAGGTATAGATGAAGAATGGAAACAATTAAAATAATGTGAAACTTACAAACCTCAGGAGTATAAATGTAGTGGTATAGCTGAAGATTTTGGGGAGATGGAATAGGGGAGAAGAAAAGGTAGAGGCAAGGCTGGATTAAAACTCCAGCACAAGGGCCAGGCATGGTGGCTTACACCTATAATCCTAGCACTCTGGGAGGCCGAGGTGGGTGGATTGCCTGAGCTCACAGGTTTGAGACCAGTCTGAACCAGAGTGAGACCCCATCTCTAAAAATAGCCGGGCATTGTGGTGGGCACCTGTAGTTCTAGTTACTTGGGAGGCTAAGGTAAGAGAATCATTGGAGCCCAGGAATGTGAGGTTGCTGTGAGCTATGACCCCACGGCACTCTACCCAGGGCAACAAAGTAAGACCCTGTCTCAAAAAAGCAACAATAGCAGGGTGGTGCCTGTGGCTCAAAGGAGTAGGGCACTGGCCCCATATGCCAGAGGTGGTGGGTTCAAAACCAGCATTGGCCAAAACTGCAAAAAAACCAAACCACCCCCCCCAACAATAACAAACAAAAAAAATCCAGCCATAGCAACATCCGATAGTGCCATGCAAGCCCCATTTTAAAAAGTAGCAAAAGTCAAATTATAATACTGTTTCATTTAACGCAAAATGTTATAATTTCATTATTGCAATCAATAGAATAATTATTAATGAGAATTTTATAGTTTTTTGCATTAAGTGTTCAAAATATGGTTAAGTATGGGATTTCTAGCACATCTCAGTTTCAAATTGCCACACTTCAATTGCTCAGTAGGCACGTGCAGCTAGTGGCTACTGCCTTGACCAGCACAATTCTAGATGCCCTAGCATGAAAAAGATTACATAATTCATAATTAAATAGTAAAGCAAATTATATTTTTAAAATGTCATAAAATATACAAATATGTAAAAATTAAAAGTAAGTCATTTGTAGATATTCTGATTTTTTTTTTTCTCTTCTCCTGCCTTCCTTCCTTTTCACTTTATTCCTTCTAGCTAAGCCTTGGTACACTCTAACATGTAGAGGTCATGGAGGAGAGGGGTCCTAAGTAAAGGTGACTAAAAAAACCATGGTGAAACAGGAGGAAAACTAGGAGAGTGTGATGCTCTGGAAGTAGGGGTGTCTTGGAGTCAGCGTGTATCAGCTCAGGAGGGCTGATTGTTAAATTTTCAGGAATTTGATGAGTTGGTTGCCAAGCATGGTCACTATTAAAATTGTATAAATTTGATTAAATAAATTGTATTAAAACAGAAGTAATGAATAGTCAAAGCTCATCACTCTTTAAGTAGTTTACTAATATCTATACTCTTAAAGTTGTGTCCATTGCATCTGTATGGTGGAAATACTAAAGGTGTGTGCCATTGCACCGCTCTTTCCAACTCATCGTCACATTGGTAGCTTGAAATTGGCTATGATGGGAGAGTCTATACCATGAAAATCAGCCAATGCAACATATCACAACTTCTGAAACTTTTCTTGGAGAACCTGCTGTTAAATTTTATGTTTACCAGCACACTAGTGCCAAGAATCCAAAAGAAAAGAGTAACAAGAAGAGAGTAATCTGTTTTGTTAAATGCTGCCAAGATGAGATCAGGAACAAGAGGACTAAGAATGACCATTGGATTAAGCTGCATGGATTTTATAGTACCAAAAAAGACAAAATCACTGTATTTGTGGACCTTACTGATAATTGGCTGTTGAATTTAACAATGGAGATTTAGCAGAAATTAGAATAAAAAAAAATCTTTGTCTGGTCTCTACCTAACTCCACAAATATTTTGAAGAATCTGCTACGCTTGGAGTAAACTTCATTCCCTCCAGACTTGATATTCTCTGTATTTAGACTGCCCAATGCTGCCTTATTCTGCTAGTGTGTGGAGTCCACTCATTCTTTAGGATTCAGCTCAAATGTGTACTCCTTTGGGCAAACTTCATAGGCAAAGATAAATGTTTGCCCTGAACAATCTTTTATTAATTCCTGTAATTTTTCTCACAGCTGTAATGATGGCCCTTTTCTTTATCATTGCTAGGATGAACCCACTGACTGTTAATGACCAAGATCTTCATCTTTCTATCATAGGGCTTACCACCATTCTTGGCACATAGTAGATGCTAATGCATGTTCAGACTGAAGGAATCAAGTGATTAATCTAGTAGATAAGGTTTTGAGACCTGGCCAGGTGCAGTAGTTTATGCCTGTAATCCTAGCACTCTTGGAGGCCAAGGTGGGAGGATTGCTTGAGGTCAGGAGATTGAGAACAGGCTGAGCAACAGCGAGATCCCTGTTTCTAGATAAAAATAGAAAAAATTATCCAGGCATGGTGGCACAGGCCTGTAAGTCCCAGCTACTCAGGAGGCTTGAGCCCAGCAATTTGAGGTTCCAGTGAGCTAGGATGATGCCACTGCCCTCTAGCTGGGGTAACAATAGAGTGAGACTATATAAAAAATTTCTTTCTTTCTTTTTTTTTTTTTAAAGGAAAAGAAAACATACAGAGACCTGATCCAAGGCAGAGGGACCATAAGACCTACTCCATGGAGGGAGTAAATGCTTTTCAGAGCTATGCTTGCTTCAGTCTCTGGACATTTGATATTCTCTCCCTCTATCATCTTCTCTCCTGATTTGAATATCTAATCTGGGCCTGAAATAACCAACCTACTGTATTTTTTTTTTTTTTTTTGAGACAGAGCCTCAAACTGTCGCCCTGGGTAGAGTGCTGTGGCATCACAGCTCACAGCAACCTCCAACTCCTGGGCTTGCTTCTCTTGCCTCTGCCTCCCAAGTAGCTGGGACTACAGGTGCCTGCCCCAACACCCAGCTATTTTTTGGTTGTAGTTGTCATTGTTGTTTGGCAGGCCCAGGGTGAATTTGAACCCGCCAGCTATGGTGTATGCGGCTGGTGCCTTAGCTGCTTGAGCTATAGGCACCGAGCCAACCTACTATATTGTAAAAGAAAACTTGCTTGCCCTTCATTCAGAGAGTTCTTGAATTGCCAAAGTTTCCCACCTGTTACCTTTCTAGGTCAATTTGCACTTTGAATTTATTCATATGTTTAGTAATTTTCGTTTTGTTTCCACCTCCTCATGTTTTCTTAAAACCACGTTACTTACAAGCATCACTGTTAAACCAGGGATCTTTCATTTATCAGAAACAAACACTTGTTTAATTTAACTGTAGTAAGCAGCAGTTATTGCAGTGATGTAAGTGAAATGTCATGGACATCCGCAGGCCGGGAATGAGTATGACAGGTCTCCTGTGTTCCTCCTGATCAGCTGGGAAGTCACGTGTATCATGTAGCGTCATCGGGTAGACTCTTCCCTCTGCTTCTCTTTGCTCCCTTCACTCTCCCCTTCACTTTCTTTCCTTGCGTGTCTCAACATGGCGGCCAGCCCCCAGGACCTGCTAGCCTCATTGTCCACCACTACTCCACTGACTGCCCTCTACATTCCCAGGTGAGAGAATCTGATGGGTCAGCCTGGCCTGTGACTTACATGCAATCTGGGATCCAATCCGGAAGGAGGCATGTATTAGTTTCCTAAAACTGTGTAACAAATCACCCCAGACCATAGCTAAAAACAATAGAAATCTTTCACAGTTCTGGAGGCTAAAAATCAAAGTGTCAGGACAGTTCCTTCTGGAGGCCCTGGCCTTTCTTTTAGCTTCTGGTGGCTCTGGCAGTCCTTGTTCCTCCTTGTGAAGTAGACACATCATGCCAGTTTCTGCTTTCACAGTCACATGGCTTTCCCCTCATGTCCCTCCATCTCTCCTTTTCTGCCACTTATAAGGACACTGGTTATTGGATTTAGGGCCTACCCTAGTCCAGAATGATCACGTTTTGAGACCCTTACCTAAATTACATCTGCAAATGCTCTTTTTCCAAATGAGGTCATGTTTGGGGGTGCCAGATAGACATATCTTCTGAGCTACTATGGAGCCTGCCGTGGGAGACATAGTCAAGGGCTGCCAGCATGGCTCTGAGGCTCTATTCCAAACAGAGGTAAATGTGGTATTCTGTACCTCAGGAATATTGTTATTTTATCATTTTGTATATTTATTTTCAAATAATGTGTTCTGCTAAAATGTCCCTTCCTCTAAGTAACTTTCTGGGATCCAGTTCCCTCAGGGCAGAATTAATGGTTCCTGTTTCCTGTAGCACTTTCCATATACCTCTTTGACAGCCGCTTGCCATTTTCATTTATAGCACTTTATTTTCATGTCTGTTTTCCCACCTGAGTTGTGGACTTCTTCTGGGTGGGGCCTCCTCTTTATTCAGTCAATGTCAAGCACAGAACCTGATGCCTGGCTAATTTTTCCATTTTCAGTAGAGACAGGGGCTCACTCATGCTCAGGCTGGTCTCAAACTTCTGACCCCAAGCAATTGTCTCTGCTGTGCCTCCCAGAGTGCTAGGATTACAGGAATGAGCCACCATGCCTGGCCCATTTTTTTTTTTTTTTTTTGTAGAGACAGAGTCTCACTATATCACTCTCGGTAGCGTGCCGTGGCATCACACAGCTCACAGCAACCTCCAACTCCTCGGCTTAAGCTATTCTCTTGCCTCAGCCTCCCGAGCCAATTTTTTAACTGTTATATTTTGATTCCTATTATTTTGTTCTCTGCTTCTCCAAAGTAGGAGTTGACCCCATTGTATTTCTGTACATTTTAACTGGGAATCGTGAGACCTGCACAGTTTCTATTCTTGGCTCTGTTAACTAGTATTGTTACCTTGGGCAAACCAGAGATTAAGTTTTCTCATGTCTAAAAGTGAAGGCTTTGGACTCTACTCAGGGCAAAAGTGAGACTCTGTCTCAAAAAAAAAAAAAAAAAAAAATCTTTGACTAGGTTTTCCACTACCAAAGTCTGAGATGCCCATTACCCCGTTCACAGGAGAGGCCTCAGGCTACAACTCAAAGACCATTTCAGGGAAACCTTATCCACCATTCAATCAGTCAATAAATCAATCTTATTATTGCCTATGACTTCCCTACCTTCAAAACAAACAGAGTAAAAAAGAAAAGCATTGAAACAAGGAAACAAAGACCTTATCTAAATCTCTAATCACCTAAGGAACCACAATATCCTTCCTCAAGGGAGAAAATGATTGAGGTGCCAGATTAAGAATGACATTTCCTGTTTCCTTTAATGGGAAGAGCACTTGTTAATTCACCTATTAATTTACTTTTGAAAATTTTTTAAAAATTTTTTTGGAATTCATTAAGAGTACAAGAAACCAGGTTATTAATTTACTTTTAAAATGTAATTTTTATCAAAACAATATATGCACATAGTTAAAAAATGCAAACGGCACTCCAAGCTTCTAATAAGCAACCCAGCACTGCATCCCTTCCCGTCACCAGACTCCTACTGGAAGCCATCACTTTCAATTCTTTTAGCAATCTGGGGGGTGGGGGGGAAGGAGATTTATTTCTATATCCATGGAAGGCATGTTTATACTGCAATTTCTTCATTTTTTCAATTTTACACATTGTCTGTTGGCTTCTTACTGTGGAGGATAAGGACTTTATCTCTCTTTTTACCAATCCTCTCCTCCTCTGTATCTCTCCCACCCCCAAGGCATTTTCCTACTTTATCCTCCTGGTATGTTTATCTCACAACTCTGGTTAAATCCATTAATGTTTGTTTACCTTGTTGTGACTGTGAGGTTATCCATAGCTGAGCCACATATTGAACTATCGGAACTATATTTTCATTTTCACCCAATTTCTTTTTCCTGGAATTAACAATTGTGCCTGTTTTTGTTCCCTTAATTTACCATGTGTCTGTCACTAATCTTTCTCCAAACTTTCCAGGAGAGCTGCAAAATTTTCAGGTTTCAACACCTGTCAAATCCATCAGGTTCTTTCCATTTTTTTTCTCTATTTGAGGCATCCCACCTTGAGCCCTGTGTCTGCCACTCAGCCCGTGCTAGTTGCTCTCTAAGCCTAATTCAGTGTTGTCATTTTGGCATCATTCTTGCAAGTCTTTCTCTCTCCTATTTGAAATCCCTTATTTTCAGGAACTCGTTTTCCCCGTTTTGTTTTGGTTTGTCCTCTCATTTTTGGTAGTGCACTTTTTCAGTAACATCTTGAAAGAAAGCTGCCTGCGGTATAAAGTTTTTAAAACTTTGCATGTTTGAAAATGCCCTCCATTCTTGATTGATTATCTAGTGGATACAGCATCCTAGGTTAGAAATAATCTTCCGTTGAGTTATATAGGCACTGATCCATTGCTTTGTGGCTTTAGTTTTGCTGTTAAGAAGTCTGAAACTATTCTTGTTCTTGATCCTTTGTGTGTGACTTATTTTTTCCTGTCTGGAAACTTTTTTTCCTCTTTATTCTTGATATTCTGAAACTTCATTGTTTTTCAATTTAGTGTAGATTCATTGTAATTTATTATGCTGGTTACGGCAGGCCCTTTCAATCTAGAAACAAATGTTCTTCAGCTCTGGGGAGTTTATTGTAGTATTTCTCTAGTGATTTCTTCCCCTCTATCTCTTTGTTTCTGGAGCTGCTATTGGCTGTTCTTCATCCTCTTTGTCTTTTCTTCAATCTTCCAGGAGATTGCCTCAATTTATTTTATTACTTTTAGATTTCAGCTCTCATATTTTTAATTTCCGAGAATTCTTGTTCTTTGATTATGCTTTTATCATGATATCCTATTCATATTTTATGGGTCCAATGTTTTCCTTTTTCCTATAAGGGTTTAAGTAATAGTATCTTTTTTTTTTTTTTTTAAGTCTGTTGCTCTGTCCTTCAGGCTAGAGTGCAGTAGCGTCATCATAACTCACTGCAACCTCAAAGCAGTGAGGGACTATAGGCAGATGTCACCATGCCCAAATAAGTTTTTATTTCTGTGTAGAGATCAGATCTCTCTGTTGCACAGACTGGTCTAGGACTCCTGGCCTCAAGCAACTTCCTGTTTTGTCCTCCCAAAGTGCTAGGATTAGGCATGAGTCATCACACCTGGCCAGTATCTTCATTTTTCACTTTTAATTCTGCTTTCTTCCAATTGTTTTCCCCAAATGCTGTTGAGGTGGGAGAAATTTAATCAATTTGGTTTTGTGGGTTAGGGATTGGGTGGTCTGTTATTTTTTCAGATTTTCAACTCATCTTATTTCCATTTTTCACAGGCACAATTCTTGTTATTTCTGGTAATTATGTTCTATAAAGTTGCTAAAAATGCTTAATTAGCAAATAATGAGCTATTCTCCCTAGGGGAAATCGAGGGAGGTTCCTATGAGCCTCTAGTCACAACATTTCTGTTAATTGAGCAATACATAACCTTGTTTTATGTGTGCTTCTATTTAAAGATACCTTATTTAATATATGTTGTTGAACTCATGGCCAACGGTTCTGTAATTCATGCCTGAATGAGGCTTATCTTTTCTCTCTGTGGTTCATCATAGCTGTCTCACGCATGTGAACACTTCAACGCTATGTGCGGGGGGCCTTTGAAACAGTGAAATCACTAATAAAAGGCATGAAAATGCAAAGAAATAGGGCACTAAATAGATCATGAAAAGGATCTATGAGTATGACGCACCACAAGTATCATAGTATGAGAACTCAAATAAGAAGGCAGAGGGTCATCTCGCGGGACCTCAGCTAGGATGTGTGCGCCAGGGTCTTCACCACTGCACAAGCCTGTGAATGGCCACAGAAGCACCCTGAGTATTGATTTGGGGATTACAAGCAAATTTCAGCAAGTGGGCAAACTCACACATAAGGAGTAAGGGTTGATTATATCTACCTGGTGTCTAAAATTCCTGAGCCGTATGAGATTTCATGGCATAATCACCCTTGTTTCCTGTTGGCACTCCTTTTGGGTCAGCTTTCTCGTCTTTAGCAATTCATTTTCCAAAAATTTGTTGACATGCCTTGTGTGCTGTTGTCTCTTCCCCTTTGTTTTGTTTTGTGATTCACCTTTACTATAATTTTTATGGTGTTTCCTAAGAGTGTGGGGATAAATGCATATCCTTGATAGGCCATCTCTTAACCAGAATTCTGTTTAATATACAGACTTTTAGTCACGTGTCTTGTATATAATGGTGTTTACTAAGTATTGGTTGAATAAATTAAGGAAATGCTTACTATTTCTAGACTATTGTTTAGCCTTCTCGTATAGTACATTATAATGGAATTTTAAATATCTCACATTCTACTAGGCAAAAGACTACTCTTTCTCCCCCTACTTCTCTTAGTTAGTGGAACATAGCCTAAGGAAAGTGGGAAATGGGTTTAAAATAAAAAACATGAAGAGAAATTTCTCTAAAGATCGGCGCATGGCCTACAGATATATGAAAAAATGCTCACCATTCTTAATCATCAGAGAAATGCAAATCAAAACTACTTTGAGATATCACCTCACTCCAGTAAGATTAGCCCATATCACAAAATCCCCAAACCAGAGATGCTGGCATGGATGTGGAGAAAAGGGAACACTTCTACACTGCTGGTGGGAATGTAAACTAATACATTCCTTTTGGAAAGACGTCTGGAGAACACTTAGAGAACTAAAAATAGACCTGCCATTTGATCCTGCAATTCCTTTATTAGGTATATG